TTTTTTTTTTTTTTTTTTTTTTTTTGTCAGATTCCAGATTTTAAAATACTGCACTTCACAAGCATTGCTTTCTGAAAGAACCAGAGCTCCCAATTCCCCTGTGGCGTGCCTGTAGCTGTGAGCTACATACTATTTCGGAGGTGTTACAATGCAGAAAAAGTGCCTTAAACTGAGGAAAGAACATGCTTTTAACAAATATCAGCTGTTGTCTTACTCAGCTGTGTACCTCCTCTGCTTTTGCCTCAAACAAGTAGTCTTTGGAGACTTAAAAGCCAATGGAAACCGTCCTTTGTGCTTTACGACATTAGAATGTGAGTTGACTCTCAGGTTTTTAGGACCCTTGAACATCATCTAGTCCAGATCCAGGTGACTGAAATTCCCCTGCACAACATCTCTGCCAAATGGCTACATAACCATCCATACCAAATGGTGTGGAATATTTTGGAACTTCATTTTAGTTCACCATCCTCATCAGAGATGGAACTGACCACTTGAGGGCAGGGAGCAGTTACCAGTATTCTACAATTTGACTTTATGGATGTTTTCTTAAAGATAGAATCTAGCTTATATGATTCTGAAGACGTGAGCCTGTGTTTGCTGGGCCTCATTCTGACCAGTAGGGGGCTGTGTTGTGCTTTCATTGGGGCAGCACTCCTCAAGTCCCTGAGACTGATATAGTAACATGATGCTTTCTGCTCCCATAAAGAATTACAGCCTCTGAAATCCTGTACAGAGTCGCTTGTTGTTAAGTACCGTTGAGTCAGTTCCAACTCACAGCGACCCTGTATAGGGTTTCCAAGAAGCGATTGGTGAATTTGAACTGCCAATCTTGTGGGTTCAAATGGGCACACAGCCACCTCAGCTACCACCATAGAGAGGTTGGGAGTCCTGGTGTGGCACTGTAGGATAAGCACTAGACTCCTAACCACAATGTTGGCGTTTCAAACCCACTAGCTACTTGTTGGAAGCCCCATACAGGGTCATTATGAATTGGAACTGACTTAAAGATACTTAACAAGAGAGACATGTTGTAGTTCCTTCCAGATCAGGAAAGGGTGAGCCCAGAGGTGTTACTTGATTGTTTGTTGTCTTTGATGTCTTCAGAAAACTTCCAGGAGACAGACTGCCCCACACAGGTGGCAAGTGTGTCCTACCAAGCATGGCCCATCCTTCTCAGCCAGTTCTACAAGAAGGGAGGATCATGTGCATTTGTATTCTTGCCACAGAATGTGTTCTTGGATAAGAGAAGCTGAATGGTATATTGCTGGAACCCTTACGCTTAGAAGAGGGTGTGGCTAGAAGTGTGGGCTATTACATAACGTGCTCCTTGGATCCTACTTAAGAACACAAATCTCTTCAGTATGTTGGACATGTCCTCGGGCTGCCAATGTGTTTTCTGCTTTTGCATAAAAGCGTCCCATGTCTGCTGCAGCATCTTTTGAGACTTTTTTTCCCTGCTGCAGGTTATGGGGGAAGATATTGTTCCAGAAAAAATAAGAGATGAAGTTCATACGGAGGTGAAGTGTGTAGGCGCTGCAGCCTTGACGGCCTTGGTGATTGCATCTTCGAAAGAATTTGAAGACAAATGGTTCCGAAAGATCAAAGACCATTTCTGTTCCGCCGAGAATCAGTTCCATGAAGAGATAGAAATCTTGGCCTAGTGGCCCATTCAAACCACAGAAGACATCTTCCATTGTATGAACTGCGCATGTTCATGCCAGACAGGAGTCTCTGCTAATGGTGAAATGTACTCAATTAAAAGTCTTTGTTTATGTTTTTATAAAAATGACTTCTCCGGATTATTTTTACTGCATTCAGTTTCTCAGTTTTTTGTGTTCTTTTTATTACACTTTTGCTATTTAATTACTGTAGCTTAGACCTTCTTAATATCTACTATGTATGGTGCTATAGGATAAGCACTGGACTGCTAACCCAAAGGTTGGTGGTTCAGACCCACCAGTCACTCCTCGGAAACCCCTTTAAAAGATAGCTGTTGGGAAAGTAAATTGAGTCTTTTAGATTTCGTGGTCTTTTTAAATAGTTACATGGTGTGCTGTGGGATAAAGCACTGAACTGCAAGGTCGGTTTAAACCATAAGGTCGGTGGTTCAAACCCGCCAGCCGCTCCTTGGAAACCCTATACAGGGTCGATGGCACTTCACCATCTCAACGACATCTTTAAGTCCTGTTGCTGTCGAGTTGACTTCAATTCAGCAACTTTAGGACAGTTGAACTGCTCCAGAGGATTTCTGAGGCTGTACTGAGCCCTGGGGTGGCGCTGTGGGTTAATGCGCCAGACTGCAAAGCAGTTTGAACTGCAGGGTCGGCGGTTCAAGCTCACCAGCCCTTGGAAACCCTATACAGAGTCGCTATGGGTTGGAATCGACTTAACAACAACAAAAAACACAACTTTATATTTGATCTTTCTTAGCGGAAGAAAGAGAATTCCAGCCAGGGACAAAAAAGGACGGCGATGTCCTCAGGCTGCCAAAGTGTTTTGCTTCCCACCCCTATGCTCCACCCCGCAGAGCTTTCTACTCACTGTATGCAAAATTTCCCAGGTGGTGGTGGTAAGTGCCATTGAGTTGATTCCAACCCATAGTGACCCTATTTAGGGTTTCGAAGGAGCTGCTGGTGAGCTTGAACCAGGGCCTGTGACTATTAGGTCATCTCCAGGGCAGAATACCTGGCAGCTCAGTAAATATTTGGTGAGCAGAATTGTTGAATTAATTGGCCAGCATCTTGCCTTGTACAAAAGTTTAGTGCTCCCCAGTTCTGATGTGCTGAAACAATCCAAGCCTGTCACCCATTGCTCTTTCTCACATTCATCTCGGCCCCTAGAAATGTTCCCCTTTCTCTCCTGGCTTCACATGACCTCCAGCCTCCACCTTAGCTCACTTGCCAACTACCCCCGGGATTTTAGCTACCAGCCTCAGATATTCCTCCCAAACCTGTGATCTACGCTAACCCGAGCTGCCCCAGTGCTCTGTATGGACCCTGCTCCTTCAGCCCAGCCAGTCCACCCCACTCTTCTGGCAGCTATGACCTGACGTGCAGAGAACCGGCCTCCTGGACTCTGATGCTTCCCTTTACTGCGTTGAAGGGAGGCGAAGGGCACCCAGGAAGACAGGCCACCTCGGTTTCATCATAAAAACATCTCCTGATTATCTCCAGCACAGATGGTGAAGGGAATTCCTTGAGCAATGATTGTGCTAAAGGAAAGTCTTCAGGCCTGCTAGTCAGAAAGCCATCACTTTGTTGGTCAACGAATGAATCACTCAGGAGGTGAGCAACTGTGAACCACGGATGTCTCCTCTACCAATGGGTGGGGTGTGGCCCACGGGCAATTCCTTGCAATCCAGTCTCTTGCACGCTGCCAGTCTCCACTGCCCTCTCCCAAGGGAGACTCTGCCAGGTATTCATGCTGTGAGAGGCCTCAGTCTACACTTTGACCCCTTTCAACCCAGTCTTCACAGTGCAGACAAAGAGACCTAAAATTACTGTTCTCAAAACCCACCTGCGAGGCCCTGTGCTCTGGCCTGGCCCCTCCAGCCTCCACTCACAGGGCCCCCTCAGGGTGGAGTTGTCCTGATTTCCTTCCAGGCCCTGGGACTTATCAGCTCACCCCATCCTAGCCGTTGCCCCTCTAGTTAGCTCTCTGTGGAACATTCTGTGATCCCCCAGCCCTCCTGTGAATTCTTCCTCCAGTGGATCTCGGCTCAGATGAGTGTACCTGATCTTAACTTGTTCAGGTGCCCCTTTTCATGTCACAGCTCTTGTGTGTGTCTTTCATTCAATACTCGGCTGTGTTAGTCACCCTTCTGGTTCATAAAGCTCCACGATGGTCTCCTTGGTTGACCCATTATAGCAGAACTGAGTGTCTCGGAGATGCTCTGACCCTGCTCCTTGCTTTGCTGCCTTCTTGTTGCCTCAGGCCCTGGCAGGGGCAGCCTGAAGTCCATGGGCCTGTCCCTACAGACCCCCACTGTTGGTGCCAGAGCACCCCTGCCGTCTTGCAGGACACCACAGTAAACTAGACCTGCTTCATTTGGGAAGCCCACTGCCATTAAGACGTATAGCCACCCTAAAGGACAGAACAGAGCTGCCTCTTCGGGTTTCCAAGGCTGCAATCATTTCACATTTCCCCAGGAAATGGATCCAAGACCACTATTTATTCTACTACTAAAGGTACAACCTTTAGTGTTTTTGAAATTTCATCTATAAAATACAGTTTACATACATACTGCAAGTTGAAACTAACTCAACAGCACTTAACAACAACAATAAATTTGATTGGAGGTGCCATAGGATAAACACTGGGCCACTAATGCCAAGGTTGGTGGTTCAAACCTACCAGTAGCTACATGGGAGAAAGATTTACAGTCTTGGAAACCTGCATAGGGTCGCTATGAGTTGGAACCGACTCAACAGCACTAAACAACGAGTTGTAATGGCATGGATGTGTGGATCATAACAAACTATGGCTAACACTCTGAATAATGGGTATTCCAGAACTTAATTGTGCTGAGGAACCTGTAAAGATAGAACAAGGGTATACTGAATGATTTAAAATCAGCAAAGATGTATGCCAGGGCTTTATTCATTCACTATACTGATTCAGTCTGAGAAGCTGGGTCCTATGAAGAAAAAGGTAGCATCAGGATTGGAGGAAGACTCATTAACAACCTGTGATAACGTAGATGATACAACCTTACTTGCTAGAAGTGAGGGGGACTTAAAATATTTACTGTTGAAGATCAAAGACTATATAGCCTTCGGTAAGGATTGCACCTCAATGTTGTTGTTATTATTAAGTGCCATTGAATCTGTTTTCAAATATCCTCATAACTGGGAAAATAAGTAACATTATGACAAATGGAGAAAAGATTGTAGTTGTCCAAGACTTGATTTTTCTTAGATTTGCAGTTAACACTCATGGAGGCAGCAGTCAAGAAATCAAACAACGGATTGCATTAGGCAAATCTGCTGCAAAAGACCTCTTTAAAGTGTAAAGAGCAAAGATACCACTTTGAGGACTAAGATGTGCTTGACCCGAGCCATGGTGGTTTCAGTGGTCTCATACACAGATGAAAGTTGGGCAGTGACTAAAGAAGACCATAGATGAATTGATGCATTTGGTTTATGGTGTTGGAGAAGAATATGGAAAGTACCAAGGACTGCCAAAAGAACACAAGTCACTTTTGGAAGAAGTGCAGCCAGAATGCTTAGAAGTGAGGCTGGTGAGACTTCATCTCTCATACTTTGGACATGTTCTCAGGAGGGAATATCATGGCTGGTAAAGTGGAGGGACAGTGAAAAAGAGGAAGACGCCCCTACAGGATGGATTGATGGCAGCAGCAGCAATGGCTCAAATGTAACAACAGTTGTGAGAATGGCGTGGGGTCGGAACTGACCTGACAACACCAAACAGCAAGAATAACAGGAGTCCAAACTGACTCGATGCCAATAGGATAGGTGTGGGTTTATTAGACTATTTATTATTAAAGAAAAAAAGAATTAGCCAAAAGATTGCCAAGTTCTGACTATGCAGCAGTGGGTGGCCTCAACTCAGGAAACTGCTTATGTCTGCTTACCATCTGGGTGCCTGGCCCCAATCCCTGGCTAACCCAGGCCTTAGGTCAGGGCTTCAGACCCAGTTGATCTGTTGCTACACAGCCCAAAGCAGAAGTGAATGTTCCCTGAGCTAGAGACACAACAACCCGAAAGAAGAACAGTCCAGGCCTGGCTCCAATCCTGTCTTCAAGTACAAGTGTGTCCATCTGGGCATCTTTGCTAATAAAGCAGGAAGTCAAGACAGGTGTCTGTGTACTTGGGGTTCATCGTTCTCGTGTCCTCTTCTCCCCTCTGTCCCCCTCAGTACTAGTTTCATCACCTAGTGCTTTGCTGTGGTATCAGTCAGACTTTGAGTGAACGCTGCCACCTCCCACTTCTCTGGGGACCTCTCGTCAACAAGGCAGCCATATTTGTACTCAGTGACTGACTGATTGGAGGAAGGAGGGTGTGTTCACCTGACCCAAAGTGGGCCAATCAGATTATTTCCTGGAGATTTAGGAATGAATAATTCATCTTGCCATGTGTCTCAATTTACATGCTCAAAAGCTCACTTGGCTGTGTTCAAGAAGAGCAGGTCTGCAGAGAGAGAAACAAAGGCAGCAAAGGCTCAGAAAGAGTAGAGGGACAATCTTCACCTTTGCCATTTCCTGATTCCAGGCCTTTCCTGTTCTCTAGCCTCCCTGAGACACCTGGTGGGTGGTGGTGGTGGTAGATGGTGGCGAGTCAGTTCTGACTCCTAAAGACCCTGTGTACAACAGAAGGAAACATTGCGCAGCCTCCCATCATCCTCACAATCGGTGCGATGCTTGGACCCATTGTTGTAACCACTGTGTCAACCCATGTCATCGAGGGTCTTCCTCTTTCTCACAGACCCTCTACTCTACCAAGCATTATGTCCTGATCACATGTCCTAAGTACGTGAGATGAAGTCTAGTCATGCTTGCTTTGGAATGTGGGATAACAGCCCCCAAAAGAGTCATGTCTAAGCCCAGAATTTGTGAGTATGTTAGTTTACATGGCAAAGGGAGATTAAGATTACTACTCAGTCAATTTTAACATAGATTATCTTGGATTATCTGGGTTGTTGT